GTGACAATTGAGAGCCATGAAATTTGTATTTTTTTCAATACTCTTATTAACTCCTCTGGAATCTATTTTCCCAGAGGATTCACCAGATCATAGTTTTACGTAACATTAGTAATGATTCAAGGAACATAAAGTCATACAAAGATCGGGCTTTCAAATGGGCTTTAAAACCATACACACATCTTCCTCACTGTCCTGTTCCCTGCACTAGAATGCATTTTGGGGAATAACAGGTGAACACTAAGAATGTGTCAGTATTTGCTTAAATCAGGCACAGATGTAGCATTCCTTTTTTTTAAAGATCTAAAATGATAAAACACTGCTTTGAAATTACATACTGGGGGCCCTCCCTGGTGGCGCAGCGGGTTAAAGCACAGCACTAAGAAGCTAAAGCCACTTCCGCATGAGTTCGATTCCCGCCTGCCCCCGGGGAGATCCACATGGTGTGGCGGACCTCTCCTGACCCTCCCGCTGCTCCCCTCAGCAGTGTACCTCGTTGATCTGCCTGTTCTGCTCCCCACTCTGTTTCTGGTGAAGCCTCTTGTCACCCCTGAGCCTCTGGCCAGTACCCCAGTTCTGTATGCACAAATAAATAAATCTTTTAGAAAAAAAGAAAAGATAAGAAAAATTACATACTGGGAGGCACTTTGACTTCAGAATAACATGGATGTCAACAATGTGATGCATGTCAGCTCAGAAGAACTTGTTTGATTTAGGCAGTCTCAGATTTGGTTTTTGTTCTTATATGAGGCATGATAAAAGCATCCAGAACTTTTCTAATTTTTCATACATAATGTCTATCACTGAAAAAATTACCAAGTTTGGTAAGAGTGAGGCCCACTTCAACAGAAAGAGAACTTGGTTGCTCTTAACACATTTTTCCACCCGGGTGACCCTTTCCTCTTTTCCAACCAGCCAAATCATGCTCCACACTCCTATTCTGGACATAACTCTCTCAGTTCTACTTTAGGTCTTTGGAGCATGTGCTTTTCTTTTCCTCAGCTTCTCGAATGCAATGACATCACTAATGTTTTGGGGAATCACAACAGGTGAACACTAACAATGTGTCAGGTTTTCTGAGTAGAGTTCACAGTCAGAACAATCAAAACAGACCACAAAATAAAAGTCTTACAAGAGAACTTGGACTCAGAAATCTTGGTACCAAAAAAATGTAACAACTAAAATTAGCAAAATAGGTGCATTTAGTGGATTACATGGCTTGTACTCTTGTCTCTGACACATTCCTAGAAAGTATGTAACTTAGTAAATTGATCTTCAAGTTAGCAGTGTGCCTTAAATGCAGTACTGTGTAGTTAAAACAAAAGAGCAGCCTGAGAATAGCATTTTTGATGGAAACTAAGTCAAGGTTTAAGTTGTCAACTAATTTATAGTTGCTCGGGACTACCAATTTCTAGAAAATGAAAGGAGGAAAAGGCACCACTCTCAATAATTTCCCCTGCCATATCCCACCGAAAAAGCAATGTGTAGCCTCCAGATGGAGTTATTTAGGACTTCAGTGATGTCATTGCATTCGAGAAGCTGAGGAAAAGAAAAGCGCACGCTCCAAAGACCTAAAGTAGAACTGAGAAGAGTAATGTCCAGAATAGGAGTGTGGAGCATGATTTGGCTGGTTGGAAAAGAGGAAAGGGTAACCCGGGTGGAAAAAATGTGTTAAGAAATTATACAGGGGAGAAAGACTAATAGAGTGGGCTTTAAAACCATAAACACACATGCTAGACTAGTGTGTTAGGGTCATTCAGTTCACTAGAGAGAACGGTTTTCGTTGACATTTCGGCTCCATCATGAAAACCCTATGAGAGATTTTCCAGGAAACACTCCAGGTACTCAGGGTGGTTATCGATGTTTTCGCCCAGAAACGGACTTCTCCCTATTGCTCTGTGGCACTGCAGAAAGGGTCGTCCAGGACGCCCTTGTAGCCGCAAACAGCTGCCCCACGAAGGGAGCACAAACACGGTCTCTGGGAAGTCCTGGAGCTCAGAGAAGCCACAACCACCACCGGTGCATCTGGGAGGTGTAGCCCCGGCGTGCGGTGCTGGGGAATTCTAGGAACGTCGTTGCGGGGCCGCAGTAGCTGCTCCTGGGCTCCTGGCGGGTGAGGTCTGGGAGGGTTCCAAATGCTGCTTTTACTGTTCTGCTTCCATGGAATCACGTTACTCTCCCACCATCTGTGTGGCAATATGCAGAGTAATGCCAACCAGAAAAGTTCACCCCAACTTAAGTGTCTATAGACTTTATTGGGACTTTCTTGTGTAGGGGCTCTTTGAATAATTGGTGACCTGACTCCAATCCCATCCCCCTCTTTGAGTTGATTATCAGCTGGCTTAGAATTCCAGTCTTCAAATCACATGGCTGATCTGTCTGGTGTGATCCTCTGACATCCTACCTCATCTCATTAACACGAACTATCCTACGGAATCACTTTAAGTCATCTCTCTTCTATAAAATATCAGGGGTATTTTGAGAGGCCCATTATATATGACAAAGGTATTCCTATTAAGATATCTGGAAGGTGTAGAGCATACCTCCCAGGAACTGGTGGAAAAGACTAGTTAAATTACTTATTGTATAGATGTATACAAAATTTGAATTCTTACATGTTTTTGATGAATTTGCCATTTTATCATTATGAAGCATCTAACTAGCAAATTTTAAAAACACCTTTTTTCACCTACAATTCACTATACAACTCATCCCTTAAAAATAGTGTTCAGGGCTCGCCCTGGTGGCGCATCGGGTTAAAAGCACAGCACTAAGAAGCTAAAGCCACTGCAGCCTGAGTTCCATCCCCTCCTGCCCCGGAAGTGACCCACATGGCGCAGCAGATTTCTCCCAACCCGCCCGCTGCTCCCCTCAGCAGTGTACTTCCACGATCTGCCTGTTCTGCTCCCCATTCTGTCTCTGGTGAATCCTCTCATTGCTCCTGCACTTCTGGCCTGTACCCCAGGTCTGTATGCACAAATAAATAAAGCTTAAAAAAAAAGTGTTCAGGGGCTCTCCCTGGCGCGCAGTGGGTTAAAGCATAGCACTATGAAGCTATCGCAGCCACTGCAGCCAGGGGGTGACCCACATGGGGTGGCAGACCTTTCCTGCCCCGCTCGCTACTCCCCCCAGCAGTGTATTTCGTCAATCTACCTGTTCTGCTACCCACCGTCTCTGGTGAATCCCACCTCTGGCCCATACCCCAGATCTGTATGTATAAATAAATCAATCTTTTTTTTTTTTTTAAAGGGGGTTCAGTGGGTTTTAGTATCTTCCCAGAGTTGTGCACTTACGGCCATATCTAATTCTACATATGACCATCCCAGAATGAAAACCTTGCACCCATTCACAACCACTCCTGATTGTGTCGAGGTGTTCGCCTTGTCGCAATAAATGCAATAGAATCTTTTTTGTCACACCAATTGGTTATAGGTGATAAATGGGGGCGCCGCCATTACATTCCAAACAAGTCTGAAATCCAGTGTGCTTCAAGCTTGTGTTATGTTGTGTTCAGATTAAGTCGCGCTTCCCATTTTTACCTACACTCTGCTTACCTGGGGAAAAAATAGTGGTCTTTAGAGTTCATAGTGTAAGCGTCTCTTTTATCTTTCCTATGGTCTTGATGTTTGAGTTAGTAATTATTTTCTCAACAACTTTAGGAAATGAGTAAAACAGAATCTGACAGACCCAGGGATAGACAACCCACTTTGGTAAAAACAAGTCATCGTGGGAAGCGCGCTCTCGCCAGCCTCGTTGTGGGGAAATGTAGTGCCAGACGTTTGTTAAATGCGCGTCGGCGCTTCCGTTTAGGTATTCTGGGAAATGTAGTCCGGAACTGCATGAGACCCAAGCGCTTCCGCTCGGGCATTCTGGGAGTTTAACCTGTCAGTGGCATTTCCGCTCCAGGAAGGCGAGGCTGGGCTGAGATTGCAGCTGATAGGGTGAGGTAACCTGTGTCCCTGAGTCCCTCGGCCTCCCGCTTTCGGCGAGGAGCCAGCAGTAGCCCGGCGCTCGCTTCTAGGGAAGGGAAGGCTGTAGCGACGTGGGGGCGCAGGTGCTAGCGGTATCGTTGCGCATCGGGGGAGGGCTCGCGTCCTGCGCCGAGTTTCAGGCTCAGCGCTCTCTACCTCCCCCAGTCCTCTTCCTGGGCCTGTCAGCAAGTTCTGCCTCTTGCAGTGAATTGTCGGAAGAGTTATTTGATCTCCGTTTGCCTCCGTTTTCTCTCCCAGTGGCGTTCTTATGAGACTTAAGTCCGGGAAGGGGTCGCAGTTCAGCCCCTGCTCACTGCCTCTGTGGATTCCTGGACACTTTCTAGCGTCTTGTTTAGGAAGGAGAGTTGTCTTGAGCTTGAGGAAAGTCTTTGGTTTATCTGGACAGAGACGCGGCCCGTATTTGCAGAGTGTGTGTCCTGTTGCGCAGCTTTAATGAGTGTTCGGTTTAACATTCCCGGTATTTTTAACTTAAGTGCAACACGACTACGCAAACTTAGGTTTTCATTAGTGATTGGTTACCATCACACACGAAAGGAGAGACTTTGCTGCAGTTCTTCCAGTTTATAACACTTGCAAAACTTTTCTGAGGGTGATGGCAACTTAAGGGGAGAGGTTACTATCTCTTAGTCTGATTTTAGTTAATGTTTATATTTAGTTAAGTGTTTATATTTAATGTTTGTATTTAGTTAATGTTCTGCCTGTTAGCTAGGGCGAGTTTGTGGCGCATCTGCTGCTAACAATACCAGCTTGTTTGAGCTGCAGGAGGTTGGGAGTGCTGTTGTTGTCTGGGTTTACAGGCAGGTACGTGGAGGCTCAGGGAGGCCAGTGGTTAATAACTTGCTCCAGTTTACACTGCTAGTGAGTAAAAGTAGTGAAGAGGAGCAAATTTGCCACCCCAAAATGTCTCTGGTATAAGAGACATGTTTTAGGCCGGTGATTTTTAAGAAACAGCGGGCATAGGAAAATAGCCCCGAAAACCAAGAAAGAGACTTGTGCAATGGAAATGTCTGTTTGTGCACGTTTTCCTCTGTCAGTGGAGAGGAGGATGACCTGGTCTCTAGAGGCTTTTGTCAGGGGTGGTTATGACAGCTGATATCTGTGTAACAAACCTACCCCGTTTTCTGTCTTTGCTGGTTACTTTTGTCAGCTGCCCCAAATTTTCAAGTCTACAATGTAAATTAAAATGTATAGTTGCTCCTTCCCAAAACTGTTTTCTTGACATCTCTGCCTCCCTAGAAGTATCCACTTCCCTGTTGCATCTCCAGGTTCCTTTCCTTAGCTTGGGATGCTAGGTAAGCCTCAGCTCCATGTCTACGTTTTGAATTCTCCTTAGGTACTTTATGAAATTTGAGTTTTCTTTTAATGTGTCCTGTCACTTGAATTACTTGTCCAGCCAAATGGAGATGGCAAGACTTGAAACCAGGCACTTGGGTTTGGGCTTTGTTAAAGATTGTCCTTGAAAAAAAAAGGCAGTAACTGGCTGTTGACATCTTTTTTATCATGGCTTCCCCTTTCCAGTTTTGCCTTCTCAGAGCGCGCAGCCTTTTCCTGGCAGGAAGAGGAATAAAATGACCAAGTTCCAGGTAAGGTGTTTGTCAATTCAGGGCCTCCCTGGTGGCACAGGGGTTAAAGACACAGCACTATGAAGCTGTCGCCAGCCATTGTGGCACAAGTTCCATCCCTGGCCAGGAAGGTGACCCACATGGCGCAGCAGACCTGTCCTGTCTCCCCGCTGCTCCCCTCAGCAGTGTATCTCAGTGCATCTGCCTGTTCTGCTCCCCACTCCCTCTGGTGAATCTTCCCAATCCCCGTCCCTCACACCTTTAGCTTACACCACAGTTCTTGTATGCATAAATAAATAAACCTTTAAAATATATATATGACATCCTGTTCGCCAAGACTGGGCACAGTTTCCTCCTGCTTGGTGAGGTTAGATAGGAACCAGAGGCCCTTGAGAAATTGTTACGCGTAGGTTTTTGCTTACTTCCAGATAATTGTGAGAATTAGTAGATATTTTTAAAAAATAAAATCTTACAAACGTGTTTAAAAGATACACTGTTTTCATGTTCCCATATACCTTCTCATTTGTATCTATGCAGTTATTTTATCTTAAATGCTATTTAGGGATTTCAAAATTTATTTTTATATCACCTACATCGTAAGTGGCCACATCATTTTCCATAGGTTATCTAATATTTCCACTCAATTCCTATGTGTGGTTTATGAATTTGACCAATTTAAAGATGTTTGCAGTGACACTTTGCTACCTATAACCTTTCTTCCCAGATGGGTGTTCTGACAATTCTATCATTTTTCTCTTTGGTTATAACAGAGGTGTTTCCACAAAAGGGGGGAGGTACCATGTTCTGCTCCTGTTGACATTCAACCCCCTTGGACTATCTACTGGGAACTAGGGCAGAGGTGAGCGGCCAGGTTAGGCGAGAGGACACCCAAGGCGGCGGGCCCAGAAGGGCATGTGGAGAGGAAGGGCTGCTTGCTGCTTGGCTTTGGACTCGCACCATGGACTTGGACTGCATGGAGGGGAGACGTGCAATGATGCTTGGGGAGAGATGCGGCTGACCATGGCTCCTTATCTTGATCACTACTTTGTGTGCCTCTGTGCGGCCCTTTTCTTTTTCCTTTGGTTCCCCTCCAGGAGCCTTCAGCTTGTGGCAGCTTTCAGGTGGACCCAGTTTCAGGGCCTGTGCCATGAGGGAGTGGCGATCTTTGGTGTCTTATTGGGAAGTTGTTCCCCTTTCTTTTCTCTGTCTGTGCACACTGACTGTTAGTTCTTTCACATTAAGTCTGCTGTGTGTTTGTGCACATGGATGCCCTGGCTTCTTCAGAGCATGCAGTCCTGGGGCCCAGGGCAGCCCTCAGTCTGCCTTCGAACACTTAAAGGTGTAAGGACTGGTCCTTTGGGTGCCCCACAAGTTGAGGAAAGAAGGGCTGCACTAGGGCTCCAGCCGATACTGAGCTCAGCGAATTGTTTTAATTGCCTTCAAGAGCCAGACGCTTAATCCCAAATTAAGATCCCGTGTGTGATAGTCAAAGGCCTGTTTTATTCAGTGACATGTTAGTATGTTACTAAGTATAAATAACCCAAGATTAAAAAAATAAGATAATATCCAGTCCTTGGCCGGGTGTGGAGAATCAGGGGTGGAGATTCAGGGATGCGTCTAATCTCTTACAGAAAGCGTTAATTGGGAAAATTGCCATTATGCTATTAACAGCAAGATAAAGATACATAATTTTTGACTTTGCAGTTGCCAATTTCTCAAACTTAAAATAACCAGATGAATTGGCTGAGGTATATGGGGAAAAGGTTTTTTGTTTGTTTGTTTTTGCAGCATTATTAAGTTTTTGTTACTTAGAGTGGGTAAATATGTTACAGATAGTCATTTTCATGTAATAGATACAGCTGTGAATGGGATGAAATAGATAATGGTGACAATAATGAAGGCTAATACTGAGTATTTACAGGATGGCAGATCCTGTCCTTTAAACATTCTCATTTAATCTCTTCAATTAGTACTGTTTTACAGATGAAAAAAATGAGGTACAGGACCCACCTTTTGCAGTGTGTTGCCCAATTCAGCCCAGTCCAAAAACATCAAGTGTGCTGAGGTATTTTCTATCTTACTGCACACATTTGTATAATGTTGCACTCACGAAACTTTTATTACAGTATAGTGTTCAAATTGTTTTATTATAACTGTGCCAAATTGATCATGAAAGTTTATCACTGGTTTATGTATAGGAAGAGAGGGACCTGTCCTCTCCAGAGTGTCAGGCATCTATGGAAGATCTTGGGGCGTACCCCTGACCAGGGTACAAAGTTTGTTGCCTTGTCCAGGTCACAGAGCTGGTGATGGACAGAGCCTTAGCAGGAGGACTGAAGCCTGGTCAGGAACCTCACCCCAACCAGGCAGCTTGGCAGATGTATTTGCAGTGATTTAATAATGACTGTTCCAGAGACTTAACTGTAAAGGTCCACATTTACAAGGCTTTTGTATAATTCCTTTGATTCCTTCCTGTTCCTTTGCTCCTGCCACCCCCAGGCCTCCCCTCCAAAGTTTGCTATGGAGAGGAACTTTACTGCAGAGTGGCTCAGATTGTAGAGCAACTACACCAGTTACTCTCTCTCTCTCTCTCTCTCTCTCTCTCTCTCTCTCTCTC